GAGTTCCTTGGCCCTCGCCTGTGTTTCCGGCTTCATCGCAACTCTGATGGCTTCGGCAAGTCCCTCCGTCGTTAGTTTCTTGTAGGGGATTGGATCGGGCCCGGCACCAGCTCTTGCAACCATCGCCCCCCAAAACGGCTGATCGCCAAAGAATGGGACAATTATGGTTGGTTTACCCGCGTTGATACCAGCAGCTGTCGTTCCTGCACCCCCGTGGTGACACACTGCTGACACGTGTTGAAAGAGCCAATCGTGGGGGCAGTTGCCAAGCATGAAGACACCGTCCGGAATGCCGAGTGAGTCGGCTCCTAGGCCACCCCATCCCTTCGACACCAGAGCTCTGACGCCCGTCTCTGCTACTGCTTCGAAGATTGTTTTTGTGAGGGCATCCGGATCATCGACAACAATTGAGCCGAAGCCTATGTAGACTGGGGGTGGGCCAGCTTCGAGAAAAGCGGCCAGATCCGGTTCTGGGGTATAATTCAATGCCAGGTCAAGGAAGAAGAATCCTGCAACGTCGATGTGGTTTCCCCAATCACTGGGCTTCGGGATCAGTGCTGGGGACCAACAGTACGTGTAGGGAATCCGCAGACGAGTGAGCACGCCGGGTGCCCACAATAAAGACAGAGGTTCCAAATCGAGAACTTTGGCACGGAAGCGATTGATGACATCACCAAGCCCCTGCCAAGTCATCATTTCAACAAGAGCATAAGAAACATAATTGGTTGTTACAGGATCGGTATTCGAGGATTGAATATTTGCCAATGGCTGAGGAAAGGCTCTCGTTGGCGACCAAGGCATTCTGCTACGTGTTAGGACTTCATCGGCAGAGGAGGTGACCACTATCTTACGTGAACATTAGGTGGAGTGGTACGCCGAGCTTTTCAGCAACGTGGATATGCGCAAAACTCGGCGGATTCGCAATGATGGCGTCCGCAACAAAGGGCTTGTTTGCCGCATCCATGACCATGGGATTCGAACCATCGGAGCCTGTAGCACCACGTCCTCGTTCGAGGCGCGGTGCCGGACCCATGCCGTTTCCTGCTTCGATACATGATCTCCAGCAACCCCAGACGATCTCTTCAATCCCCTTGCGTCGCTTGGTTATTTCGCCGCTCTTGACTGCATCGAAACCAGGCATCAAGCCCGGATTCTTGACCATAAAGGCCATCAACTCAGCTGGATCTCCACCGATACAGAAGAATTCGAGACCATTCTCCTCAACGAACTTCTGGAATGTGGCATGCGTCGCTATCCGTACCCGATGTCCATATGTGTTCTTCAAAATCTGGCCAAGAGCGATAAAAGGCTGTACATCTCCTCGCGAGCCTACAATCTGTATAACGACGTTCAACTGCGGAGGAGGATCCTGGCCGGGCTGACCACCTAGACTCGTCGGGATGTAGGCTGGTGGAAGAGGAGCTTCGGAGGCGATCCTAGCGTCGCGGCTCAGCTGGTTGCGCAACGTCGGGGCAATAATATCGGCCAATTGCCTGCTTGTCTGGTTGATGTTGATGTTGACTCGTCCATCGTCTATACATGGGCAACCTTCGTTAGCTATTCATGATTCATGTAGACAGTGGTCTAGCCAAGTTCTTGGGGGTGTTGCTCACCCGTAACGACAGCACCGGCATCGAACCCAGCTTGATGCAGCGAAAGCCGGTCGTGAAACTCGCTGTATGCCGGGGGGACTTCTTCTTCTGCGCCTAGCTCAGCCCTATCAGGCATTGCCGTCAGCGAATGCAACCCATCCTGCACTACAACAGGAGGAGTCTCGCTGTAACTCGGAATGGGTTCTGCTCTATCGCCACTGCCTGCCTGAGCACGCTTCTCCTCCCCGACAGACGCAGTGTTGGTGTTTCGAGTCATCTCGGAGGGTCAATCTCAAATCGCGCGTCGTTCAGGATCAGAGTTAAGGAAGGACCTAGACGGGGTCGACGCTGGAAATGGGTGTGCCGCCTCTGATGGGAGGGGAAATGGACGATGAACGGCACTGAAATATCCCATGAAGAGCGTAGGGCTGATAAAAATGTACTTTAAGTCGTGACTGGTCAGTATATTGAATATAGATTCCAGGTTGCTCGCTTGGGTGTCGAACGTTAGAGGTTACGCGGCACAGCGCATCAGCTTGCTGCCTGCCGTGGGGTTGAATGCGAGTGAGGCTGTGACCGTCTGGAGGATCTGTCGATGAATAAGTTATTTATAGTGAATAATTGTCGAACGAAACACAAGTGGGTGGGAGTACTCAAGATGCCGGGTTGCCTCGATCATCTGGAATACGACGAGATGAGGACTATCTTATAGAAGCGTTTCCGATTCAGATACATTTGCGATGTCGACTGCTTTCATGACGATGCCTGCTTGCAGTTGGTTGGACGTGGATGCTTGGCAGACTAGGGAGCTATGACGATGTGTCGTGGCTCATGCGTCCTAGACGGGACTAGCAGATCGTGGCGAAACAAGGCGGGGTTGCTGTTTAATGCTTGACTTGAAAAGCTTACACACAGCGCGTTTAGTTGGCTGGCCGTCGTATCCAAACGAGTCATAGATAGAAACTAAAACACGTTTTGTCTATATGTAACCGGGTGTCCCCACTCGATATTCAATGTTTGTCTTAATGGTTATAGAGTTGTAAGTTATACACGGACGGATTCTAGCGGCGGAAATGTACGATCCGTTTAGACGTACTATACGACTCGACTCGTATGGGATTCGCGTTATTGTTGCGAATCTCCAGTTCATAAAGAAATTTGAGGCTTAGGTAGGTCTTGCATGGCTGATTACGACCATGTGCCGTGCATTAGGTTGAATCCTTCTTGCTCTGTCTGCATCTCACCTACTTCGGTTGTGACGATAACTCAGCTACGGAGTAGGGGTTTCAAGAAGCATTCCGACGGCACAGACTCATCACCACCTCAACGGGCGGTGCGGGACATTTCCATCAAATTATCTACAGGGAGTACCTGTTACCAATTCTTCTACCGCTGCGCCACAATATTTATCCATCATTGGCTGCCCGCCTCCTACACGGCGTTTTGATGTCATCTTTCATCACAAGCCGAAGTCAGCTTGAATTCTCGCAATCTGCAACGCAAGCCTGGCACACCAACGCAGATGCAAGGCTAGATACTGAAGGGTTCTCTCGCATCCCTCTGAAAGCCTTTGCGCTTCAGCAATATGAGGGAACATTGGGATCTGCCTAGTGGGAGCTCAAAGGCCCTCGTGTATGACTTTCGTGGTACCCTGGTGCCAAGTACCCCGTGTAGTGGCCATCTTCCCTGGATATGCCCTTCACCTCCGGTATGTTTGACTGTTGTAGTACGACTTAGAAGTCCCCGGTCGCTGGCTTCCAGCTTCATTGCATATGTATGCAAGCGCCCGTGATTGTCTGACACCCGGACTGGGTGATAGTTATTCACTGTTGGCTGAAAATGAGGCTATGCATACGAGAATGCCATCGCCAACCGTGTTAATAGGGCTCATAACGAGGTAAACATCGGGCTAATGACATTACTGACTACCACATCTTCATGTTCTTTGAGACTGAAAATACTCCCAAGCTCACAGGCATCTCCATCTTATTCTCTGATTCGCTGCCTTGCATAATTGTCTTTGGCCGCCCTGCATCGTGCTTTGCCTGACGATGACAAGACGGATGAACCTCGAGCTGACTTACATTTCACTGAATTACAAATTGACCATGCTAGCGAACCCGTGTGGTAGCCGTGCAATTCCAGCGTAGCGACTACAAATTCTCCGTTGGCGATGAATACGAACTGTGGCCTGCCCACAGCCAAAGCAAGACATGGAGTGCACTATTCGCGGTGGAATTGAAGCGTACGCCGTGCATCCTGGTGGCGTTGCGATCGCTGATTTGGCGAACCCCCACCTTGAGCCACCTCAATGACATGGCGGGGATATCGACATGGGATAATGGTTGTGACACATGGACGGTTGTGCTTGGCTAGATGAAGTCGCCGGTTCGGGCCACGGCGCCGGTTCTCACGCAGCGTTGGATCCCACGTCTTATGGAAAGGGCGGCTTATGTGTCATTCAGTACCAATTCAACGACGTCCTAGACTATACTGTTGATCTTGAAAATGCAAACAAGTTCTGGGAGTTGAGCGAGGAGCTTACTGAGCAGAATCTCAACCTATTGGTCAGGGAAGAGCTGGCCTGAGCATCCCTCCTTCTCCAGCATCGCAACAAGGTTGATAGACGAGTTTACGTGTGTATCTTATGTGGACTGGTAGTTCCACTTAGATGGCAGGCAGCATGTCTCTTCTACCAATACTTTCTTGCTTCATGGTTCATGGTTGGATGTACCGACCCTCCTCGGACCAGGAAAAGCTTACGAATCCATAGATCGTCATGGGTATAAGCTACGTTATGTTGACAAAAGTAGTCTCAAAGTCCGAACTTGAATTTGTCATTCCACCCAGCAATCACAGAGTAACGTGCTTCCTAGGTAGCCCTGGAAACATGGAATGGTTCGGCATATCGAAATGGCAGTTGTTGGATGTTGCAGCATGAAAAAGACGACCAGTCTTATCTTCTTTCGCAACGATGCAAATAGAAAGACTCGACCGAAATCACCTCACGCACTCGCCTGCTCAGCTTGAATAATCTCTATACCATAGCATCGGACGACCATACTCATCGTACAAAAGCTGTTCCATAAGCATATCCTGTTCCTCTCATTGGCCAAATGCCCGAGCCTTTGTCCTGTATTGCCAAACTAAGTGGAAACAACAACTCACGAAGGCAAATCTCATCCCTAGTACCTGGTATAGCAAGCCATATTTAGTAAAAAACGGTTCATTGGATCATTACTAGGTAGAATTGGCTTGGAGAATTTGGCAAACTGCTGATTGACATCCGAAGCTGCACCGAGATAGCTCCACAGTCACTTGGTGACCCGTGTGGCATGTGAACTAGGATCCGATATCAAAAAATTTCGTCAGCCAATCGGATTTCCCAGTCTGAGCGAGCCTTTCAAATGTCCCTTGGCCCAGTTGGTGAAGGCGTCCGACTGTTACTACCCATGTAATCGGAAGATCGCAAGTTCGAACCTTGCAGGGACAGCTCTTTTGCTGTATTCGCAGATTGTCTCTTTTTGTCACTTGAGTGTCTCTTGTCCCACGACGTGTCAGGGCTCTTCATTGAAGTGGGGAATGCTGCGGTGCACCGTTCATTCAACGCCCCTTGTTGACCTTGCGTAACATACTAACTCCGTTGAAGCACGCACAACACCTTATAACAGGTCAGGATATTCGAGTTCTCTCAGTCAGGAGCGGAGCCGGGAGTCATTGTCCCCCGCGTCTTGCGCACCGTGGACGGGGCGGCTTCGGAAGCATCTACTTCATGCTAGAAGGGAAATCGAAAGAAAGAAAGAAGGAACAGTTTAGCTCTGTCTTTGAAGAAAGCGTGTCATCCTGATTAAGTGTTAATTTTGTAGATCCCAAATTCAGGGGGAAGGCGTACTACGGCGTGCTAACCTTACTTGAATTATTTTATTAGTAGGCGGCAACGCCTGGCATGACGGCTTGTTTAACTCAATTCAAATAGAAGCCGGTTCTCGTTCGAATTTGGATAAATCTGAATAGCATTGATCAAACTCGATATTATTACATTAGTACACCGGGTATTCTTGTTGTAGTGCCTTCCAACCTTATACTTTGGCGCAGACCTCTGCAGCCGATAGCAGCTTATTATGTTTCGTCATATCAATTGCGCGCGTTTGAAGCACTAACACTGAATTTTATAACATGCTTGATAGTGCGTCATGGAAACACGACTGAACGTCGTTGGTGAGGCGTTGGCCGGGTTGATATAATCAAGGCTTACCAGATTACCGTAGGCGAGTTAAAGTACTGCCAAAAGACACCACGGAAATCCGTACTAAGAGAATCGGAACCTGCCCTGCTCTCTGAGCTCAAGTTAAGGTTGGAAGCGGCCATTATAAGGAGAGATCTCATGATTTTCTATAAGGGCCAATCTAATGTATACTTTCTTCGCCTCCTCTAAATCGACCTTTGACCACTCTATATCATCAACACAGTCAAATACCCAATTTCTCTCCAACTATACTCTTAACAAGGTCTCGACAGAGCGGCATCCTATACATATATATACCGCTGACAACAATGCTCATTTCATCCTTCGAAAATTGTGTATACTTGCAGTTAGAGACGCGAAGATTAGAGTCTGCTTCCCAGGTGGGTTCATTATGAGCGCTCAAGGCAGTGGCCCAAGCTGCCTACCCTCTGACGCGTGCAAAGATCGAGGTACTATCGATAGAAACAAGGCGACAGACCAATCAGGATAAAAATGCTCTTAGAACGGCAAAGCGGGCTGAGAGAACTGGAAGGAGGAGACTAGAGCGTGAGCGTCGGCCTGCAGTATCGGAATATCCAAATTGAAGCTAACTAGTCTGCTATTCTCTTTTTCTCCTTCACTAATATGTATTAATTATCATTTACAGGAAACAGCAGTATTCTATTCAGTTTTTGCCGCAGAAGCTGTGAGATGCACCCTGTAACGCTTGCCATGACGAGCGGTAGGTGACTCTGAACGTTTCCAACTACTGGCAATGATTCCATCCTCACTATATTCTCGGGTTATAACATCTGACAAAATCGACACGAAAGAAGCCAACCAGCATATTGATCGCTTACGCGAAATGCGAATATATTAAGAAGAAAGCGAGAGATTTCAATATAACCATCAAGGCCAAGGTTGAAACCTGAAAGAATTCACACAGTTGATGATAGAAGCCGGGAAATCATCGTCAAGCTTTTATCTTGAGCGTATCCATACACTGCTCGTATACTAAGATCAATATGCCGTGATCTCTTTGACGTTTGTCCTCGTGACAACATCGAGAGTTATAGGAGTCATAAAGACGGTTGGTAAATGTGTTTGCCATATTTGTGATATTCTTTTCCTGTCCGCAGTCCGCATGCTCAGAGTACGAAATAGAATCTTGTGTTGCAATGCCCGACTTAGGAGCTACATCCTCAGGATGTTTTATCCATGGAATCGTCTAGGAGCGATTTTGTCTCTGTAGACATTACATGGCCGGAGACAAATGCTCGCCAGGTTGTCACTTTGAATATGAACCGATTCAACAGAACTATTGGTCATTGCGTACAATACTGCTGTATTATGATTGTAGAGACAATATCTGCCTCGACTAGCAACGTTGCTGCTCGTAAGGCCAAGTTCTTGCGAAATTACACTATCCCGATCAACGTGACCGGCACGCTTCCATATAATTCGACGATATGGCTTGATGGGAAAGCGATACCACTTGAGGCCCCTTTCCTCAGTACGTCTGCGGCATGTTCCGATTGGGTTTGGGCGCCGCTTGGAGCCTGCTTGTGCCTGAATGGTGTTCCATTGAACCAAGAGATTGATGTAGACAACCCCACTGGATGTATCAGCGATACGGGCTACAGCTGGGGCTTCGCCACGCGGATACTTGGTGTTGCCCTGATACTTGAGGCGCCCTGGATCCTGATGACGTGGATTATGTGGACGTGGGCGACCTGGCGGAGCCAGCTGGTCTCCCGGGGCCGTGCAGGGGCCGGGAAGGTCCGTAATATCCTCGATGCCGCTGAGGCTATCACGGAGCACGTCGGCGACCAGCATTCGGCCTACACGGAAAGTGAGCTAGCCAAACAGCTCAAAACCTCTCCGCCTTACAGATACGTGGTGGAAATCCGGGGCGGGACTGAGCATATCGGCATTCGACCGACCTCGACGTCGGGCACGCAAGGAACGGAGTTGAGGAAACGAATTCAGGTCGATGGGGATACGTTGTACGGGCTGAAAGATATGAAGAAAAGGCTGCTGCAACTATATATCACAATTACCGCCAAGGAAGTCGGCATATTGGGTTTGGACTGGCTATTCGCATCGGATTACGAACGCGTTGGATTTAACCTACTCGTTGGCGTCCTAAAGCTTTCATCTAGAGACGAGTTTATGTTGGCTAACATCAGTGTTAACAATATAAAAAGAGTGTATATACTCCGTAGATTGGGGGGGAGGGGGGGGTTTCTTCTCCCTCAAAAAGCGTAAGCAACATCGCCCAGAGCTTTACAGCATTACCAATGTCAACGCCTCGAAGTGAGTGGAACGACTGAGGACAAAGCTCGCAAGAGCCTACGTATAATTTCTGCTAAAAGCGGGGTTATTGAGATAAAAATAATAATGAATATACTCTTAAGCACTAATAGCTGCTCACGCACGGATAATAAATCGAAGGAAAGGATTACGGTCTCCGTATATAATTGATATGCATCTTGCCTGCGATACCTCCTACTAAGTAGTCTTGCTCCGAGTTTTGATGACCCGTGAGTAGACAACGTCCCCGACGCAATGTCCTTGTCTCCCCCATTTGCGTTGTCAATTTCTTATTCGCCATAAGCGTCGTTAATGACCTTCTCGAAACTAAGATATATCTCAGGCCGCACAATGTTTCCTTTCGGTGTTCGCGGTACCACTGCATTACGCACCACTACTAACAAGTTCCTCTCCACGGCCATTGGAAGGACACCCTTAGCAAAATCGTGCTGCAGGGCCTTCCAAGCACTTTCTGCGATGTAGTCTGTGGTCTTATCACAGCCAGGCTTGGTAAATAGAAGGAAACCTGGCTCTGGGCGATCGTTGCCGAACATGACGACTTCCTGGAGGAGGTGGTCATTCCCAGACATGGCTGCGTGCTCATATGGCACAGCTTGCACGCCTACGCGATCGCGTCCCCAGGGCCGAATCTTGACCTCATCCGACATGCGACCAATGCACCTGTAACATCCCGGTCGAGTAGGATGCTGCAGGAAGAGATCACCGGTGCGAAACGACCCGTCGGACTGGTTGGCATAACACTTGTCCTGGGTTGGATGACTGGGCAGCACAACCAATTCGTGAACGAGCATCTTGCTTCCCTGGTCATCTGCCAGATCCGAGACGATTTGAAATTGAACATGTGGAGCCGTTGTAGGATCTGGTTCTAAGTATTGCCAATCAGGATCCCCTCGTTTGCGCGACGCAGATATCAAGCGGACCCCAGGAGACAGCTCGGACATGCCGTAGATATTGACCAGACGCACACCTCCTTGGACAAGTTTGTCGCCAAGCTGCGTGGGAAATACATGCCCAGTCGTTACAACAACATCGCATTGTTTCAGAACCTCGAGGCCCTCGGGGGTCGACATGGCCGCGAGCAAGCCTGTTGGGTTGAACCAGGCTGTCCGCGGCTGCACCTTGATGAGCGTATCGCGGTACTCTGGGGCATTCAAAGACATCCGTGCATTGGCCCATACCGACGGACCACCGGCTTTGACGAACGAAAAGATCATTGAATGGAATCCAACGCTTGAATACAACGACGATCCTATGAATGACGCATCGTGCAACATGGCTGGAAGGCCCCGCAGCCGGTTGAGCACCGATGTATGGGTCTTTGGGATGAGCTTTGGCAGGCCAGTCGATCCAGTTGAGTGCAAGATGACTGCAATATCCGTTTCGTTGATATGTGACCATCGTTGCTTCTCACCATCATCATCATGATCGCCTTCTTCTTGCGCACTACCGCCATTCGCGTACAGCGGTAATGATTCCAGCCTTGTCATTGGAATGACTGTCTTGTTCGCGGCTTGTAGCGTGCTTGTGAACTCTTGTGCCTCAGTTCCATCCGTCATAATCGTTCCATCGATTAACATGGAGCACTCGGCCTGATCCATCAGAGTCTTGACTTTGTTCGCGGGAAGAGTGGGCGACAAAAGCAGGACAGTATAGCCCATTCGAATTGCAGCCACAAAAGACACAACCCATTCGATTGTGGACTTCTCGCGGAGACCAATTACTGTTCGGGGAGGAGCAATCCGTGCTAGGCCCGCATCGACATAGTCTTGTGTTGCCTTGTGCGCCATGCAAAAGATCTGCTTCGGAATATAGTATTGAAAGTCGGTAACATGTTGGTTCGGAAACCCAAGCGCTTCCGTCATTAAGTGCCTGCTATGTTCGAGGAATTCTTGCACGGTACGGGCTTGGAGTGCGCCAGGAGCGGCCAGCACTTT